AATGGCTTGAAGAAGAAATATTTTAGTATATTAAACGAGTTAAATAAATTATATGAATTTTGTTTTTAGCAGGTTTTACTGGCTCTAAAGGAAAGTCAAAATCAAAGTAGCATGATAAAAAAGGGAGTTGAATGTCTGAGTGAATTCTTTAATTAAATATCTTTTATTTGAGGGTTATAAATGTACCTAATATAAGTTTATTACCTAGTCTATAAAGATTTGAGTATCCAGTCTATGATGCACTGAATTTGGGCCTTTCCCAAGCTGTTATACTTAAGTCTTGTAGATACCTCATTTCAAAACAATTGCTGATTTTTTTCTTTACACTGTTCTTAGTATAGTTGAATTCTGAGGTACCTGATCTACCTCTTATGGAAGCTCATAGTAGTGAAATAAAGCAGTTGTATTGTAGCCCTAAGTATTTTAGGGGAACCCAAGATTTCAATTAAATTTGAGTTATACATTATTTTAATTTCATTCAGTTGTGCTTATAATAACTATGTGTTTATTACAACTTTCAAAATTCTGCATTTTAAATTTAATTCTATTCTTCTTGGACCATTTGCTGAGGACTTACATAGCACTAATTTTAAGAGGAGTATTATTAGTTCCTTTAGTTTGAAAATCTTCCAAGTGGTTGGGGGGGGGGGCAGATTACAATTGATATCTCTCTTATTAATTAGTTTTACTCCTAGGTATTTTGGAAGTTAATGTGGACTGTAATAAAAATGTATGAAGAACTGAAGGGGTAGCATTTATGGTGTATAAAAAAATTTATAGTACTTACTCAATACTCTAATGCAGTGGTTCTCAACCTTCTGGCCCTTTAAATACAGTTCCTCATGTTGTGACCCAACCATAAAATTATTTTCGTTGCTACTTCATAACTGTAATGTTGCTACTGTTATGAATCGCAATGTAAATATCGGATATGCAGGATGGTCTTAGGCGACCCCTGTGAAAGAGTTGTTCGACCGCCACAGGGGTCGCGACCCACAGGTTGAGAACCGTTTCTCTAATGTTTTCTTTAAATGTATATTAAAGCCACCCATTACAGATGCTCCTTGGCTTATGGTGGGATTACATCCTGAAATGCCCATCGTAAATTGAAAATATAGTAAGTTGAAAATGCATTTAATACACCTAACCTACTGAACATCATAGCTTAGCTGAACCTACCTTAAATGTTCTCAGTTGGGCACTTTAGACACAGTTGGGCACAATCATGTCACACAGTGAGCACTGTAGACCCTGTGATCACCTGGCTAACTGGGAGCTGGGACTCACTGCACCTGCCCAGCATCGGGAGAAAGGATTGAACCTAACATCATTGGTCCTGGAAAAGATCAAAATTCAAAATTCCAAGTATAGTTTAAGTATAAAAACACCACCACAAACTTGATACTTCAACAATGAGAGTTTTTTTTAATTGTTTTTTATTTTGCATAGATAATACACAAGTTTTGTCCTTTGGGGATTTATTTAAGAACGTTTTTTTCTTCCATAAGTCACCAATATATTTTTCTACTTAAGTTTTATTAGCTTCATAGTTTTACCTTTCACATTTAGGTCCTTAATTCACCTGAGGTTCACCTCTGTAGTATTAGGCAGGGATCTATTTTTATTTTTTCTCTACACATGGAGCCACTTTTCTCCTACTGATGGTTTGTCTTTTTCCCATTAATTTATGGGGCAATCTTAATTATACAATAGGTTCTCATGTATACTTGGATCTGTTTCAGAACTCTCTATTTTGCAGTGTTGGTCTCTTTTTGTATATGCCAGTATCATGCTGGTTTATTATCTCACAAAACAAGTTCCTCTTTTTTGTCTTTTTAAAGTGCTGATCGAGCTTTTGTAAACCATTATTTTTTGATATGCATTTGGAATACGTTTGAGTTTCTAAATAATAATAATAATATAAAACCAATGATAAGATGTATTTCATTTATAGATTAATTTAGTGAGAACTTAAGCCTTTCTTTTTTTATTGAGGTATAATTGACATATCACATGATATTAGTTTTAGGTGTACAACATAATGATTTGACATTTGTATAAGTCACAATAAAGGATCATCACAGAAGGTCTAATTAACACCTATCCCTACTACAAATTTGTTTTTCTTGTGATAAGAACTTTTAATATCTACTTTTTAGTAACTTTGAAATATACAGTGCAATATTATTCACTATAGTCACCATGCTACTAACATGTCCAGGTTTTTGTTGCTATTTTGAATGATACCTTTCTATTATATGTTCCAGTTGTTGCTGGTGTAGAAAAATATTATTGATTTTTTAAAAAAGTATCTTGCCTTTTAACTTTTGAAACTTTAATTACTTTAATAATATGCTGATTATTTTTAATCTATCTGTGATACTATGTGAATATTTATATCAGATACAAATGTTTTGTTTCTTCCCTTCCCATCTCTATTCTTCTTGTCGTCTTTTTCTCCTTGTCTTGCCTCTTCTTTTCCTTTCCTTTCCTTCTTTTTAAAAATAATGATGGTCACCCTAGCCGGTTTGGCACAGTGGATAGAGCATCAGCCTGTGGACTTAGGGGTCCCGGGTTCGATTCTGCTCAAGGGCACATACCCAAGTTGTGGGTTCAATTGCCAGTAAGTGGCTTGCAGGAGGCAGCCAATCAATGATTCTCTCTCTCCATTGATGTTTCTCTCTCTCTCTCTCTCTCTCTCTCTCTCTCTCTCTCTCTTCTCTCTGAAATCAATAAAAATATATTTAAAAAAAAATAATAATGACGGCCAAGAGTTCTAGTTCTGTGTGAAACAACAGGTCAGTGGGAATTTTGTCTTACTCTCTATCCCATTGAAAGGTCACAGCAATTTATTTTTGAGATCTCAGGTCTTATCTTGATTGGTCCCTCTGCAGCATTTAACACTGTTGACCTCTGCTTCCTTCACTTCTCTGATACTGCATTCTTACCATTTTTCCTTCTGTCTCTCCTGCCTCTCTTTCAGTCTCCTTTATTGGTCTAACCTTCCTCTGCCCATCTCCTGAGTGTTAGTGGTGTTCCTTGGATTGCATCCTGGGCCAGCTTCCATCTGACTGTGTACTGTCCTGGGTTGAACTCATCTCCGCCATGGCTTCAGCTCACTGTGACTATGCCCCCTGACTCCAACGGGCTACTTAGATATACCTCACACATCTCTGACTTTTAAAATCCAAAACTCCACTCCCCTACCCCAACTCTCCTTTTGTTTACTCTATTTCAGTAATGGATTCTGTCCATTCTGTAGCTTCAATCCAGAAACCTGGATGTCATGCCTTACTCTCCCTCACCTTCTCCATTCATTCTTCCTCCTATTAAATCACTCATCCCTTCACTCTTCTCCACCCCCACTGTCATAATCCCAGTTCCAGCTTCTGTCCCCTCTGACCTGGATTCCTGCAGCAGACTTTGGTCTGCCAGGTGTCTGGCCTGAAGCTGGTAGCTGTGGGGCAGTGTCCTGATTTTCCTAATCATGCCAGAGACAGCATATCCCTTCTCGGTCTGTTTTGGAGGGAATTGTTCATGAAAGTTCAGCTAGGCTCTCTTTCTTCATCCCTCCCAATGATTCTGGGAGCTAATATTTCTTAAAAATAAAAGTATCTGCATTCAACATTTCCCTTTCTTCATTATACTCTTGATTCTGCAGTTCAGAGTGGTATTTCTAAAATTCACATCTAATCACGTTAGCCTCTGGCTCAAAACCCTTCAACAAATGCCTATTACTTGTTAGTCAAAATCCTTAACATGGCCCAAATCTCTGCTTGATCTAGGCCTTACTTCCTCCCTCTCAACTCTTAATGCTGAATTTCTTTCATTTCCTGTCATAGCTGTGCCCTTTCTCCTCTCTAGGGCCTTCACACACAGCCATTTCCCCTGAGACGTTGTTCATGTTTCATTTTGGGTAGCACTTCCCCAGGAAGCCTTCCCTGACCACATCTGGCTTAGGTCACCTCTTGCAGTTCCCACTGCAACTTCTCAGGGCATATATCACTGAATTGTGACTCTCAGGGTCCTGCCTAGATGGTAACTTCTGTTTGGACAGGGATTCTTAGTCCCCAGCACAGTCCCTGGCATATGATGAATATTCAGTAGCCATTTACTGAATGAAAATGAAATACTCTTTCTCTAGTGAAAATGTATTAGTTCTGTGTGATGATTAACTGAGTTTATCGGGTATAGGGAATTTATTAAAACTTTACTAATAGTAGTCAACCAAGCAACCAACCTCCCTCTTTCCTTTCCTTCCTTGACCTTTTTTTTACACTAATATTTATTGAGCATCTAAGTGCCAATGTAAAGAAATGTTGAGAGTAATCTGAACTTGGCGAAATTTGAAATAAACCAACTAGTATTCTTGGATCCAAACCCTGAGGTGTGGCTGTGATGACAGAGTCCTTTACAGAGCCTCTGATAGGGGTGATGTCTAAGGTGCTACCCAGACTTGCTTACATATTAGCAGGATGTCTTCAGTTCATGTGTTCTGGAGAATTATTGGAGATGGGTCCTTCCTGATGTTTCTCTTCCTAAGCATCTGGGTGTCAAGTCCCTGCCTTTACTAGAAGGTGCTTCATTGAATAAGGTAAAAATGTAGTGGGCCCTGGTCAGTTTGGTCAGTGGTTAGAGCGTGGGCGCACAGACTGAAGGTTCAACTCCCATGGATTCCTGGTCAAGGGCACATACCTCGATTGCAGGCTGGATCCCCGGCCCTGGTCTCTCTCACATCAATGCTTTTCTCTCCCCACCCTCCCTCCCTCTTCCTAAAAAAATCAATGGAAAAAATACCCTCGGGTGAGGATTTAAAAAAATGTAGTGGAATGACCTTTCATTGACTTAAGGTCAGCTTGAATTCTA